AAAAAAAAAAACAAAAAAAAAAAAAAAAACGAGCTGTATCCCGTCTATAGCAAACAAACTTTGTAAGAAGTGATAGCTTTCATAAAATTAATGTTTTATTTTTTCGCAGGCACTAGTTGACAGGCTACATGGATGCAATTCCCTTTAATGATAATAATAGTAATATCATTGAAGAAGAGGGGGTAGGGAAGTAGCATAATAGAAGCACACTCTTGTTCACTAGTTCACTAGTACCTGCGATTTTTTTCTCTAGAGTTAGTTATTTCATATCTCATTGAGAATAACTCACTTTTTATTCGTTTGTTTGTTTGTTTGTATGCTGTTTAACGTCCCTCTGGAGAATTTTTCACTCATATGGAGACGCCACCACTTGCCGGTGGAAAGCTGCAAATTTTGTCCTATACTCGGCACTTACGGCCATTGAGCAGTGAGGGATCTTTTTCGTGCCAACACCTACTGCGACACGGGACTTCAGTTTATACGGTCTCATCCGAAGGACCGGTCTCCACGTCCCACAGTGGGATTCGAACCCTCGACGTAAGGATCAACTCCTTACGCCGCGACTCTTGAGCAGACGCTCTAACCACTGCGCCACGCGGGCGACCGCATTTTATTCGTTGTTTCTCTTATATTTTGCAAAATATTTCAACTTAATTATTAGTAGAACATATTTTCTTCTTTGCATAATTTTGTTAGTTGGAAAATCACCACACTAAGGTCAAAATATACACAATTGTTATCAATGTATCCTTGAAATATTTCCTTTGATAATACTTTGGCGATTGACCGTAAAGTTTTTGAAAAACAAAGAAGAGAAAGAGTTTGTGCATTGTAAGCCAATGAAACCAAAATGTTTTGCAAAGAGTTTATTAACTGAAAGTTGTGAGTCGTAAAGCTGATCGTATAGTGGCTCTCTCGAAGAGCGCCGTAGATCGTACTTTATAATGTACAATACGTAATACTCATTTACGTATGAAATAGACAAATCAGATTCAAGTAAACAAGTTCTTCTTGAATTAGAGGTCAATGCACTCTATAATAAGTACATTGTAAACAATTGATGATGTTTATTTTACTAATTAAAATATTTGTCTCAAACCCTATAGGTTTACAGCATTTATGCGAAATAAACGTGCACACTTTACACAGAAGTCCTTTGTTGTGCAATATTGAATTTCTTTGTTCTTATAGATTCTGAAGATTGAAGATGAAAATCCTTCATTTGCTCCTCATTGTAGCTACTCCTTTATGGACTAAATGCAGTAAGTAGATTGGAAAGAGACAAAAGTCTACTGCCAATATTATAAATAATGTATCACGTTGATTTTTATTTCCGTGTAACCATGAAATAAATAATTGATCTATATTGTAGTTTATCGAAGACGTAAAAAAATATATTATCCGCACTTATAGTTCTTTGTATTCAACGATATCCAGGAACTGAAGAGATCTAGAGTTATCATCATGAATTACTTATTAGTAAGAAAAGTCCATTATTAGCATTGCCTATGTTTATCATATTACAAATTTGTATACAGTGTACAATTCGTTTACATGTACTTAATAGATGAGCCAGATCCCTGCTCTGATACAGTGTACCGTGAAGTAAGTGATATACCGAGAAGAAGTCCAACTTCCTCAATGACTGCTGTACCCATCTGTGACTACCATCTCTCTGAAGGGTGGTACAGAGCTGGGTTTTCTGTTATGCCAACTACCCCACCATCCCTGGCACGATGTGGAACCCTTTATCCCTTCTGGTTAAAAGGTTAGGTTTGATTTAATAACAGTTTGATGTTATATTTTGCAACTTGTGAAAATATTTTGATTATCATATGGTTTAAAATTGGTCCAGTCTTGTACACAATCACATTTCAAGTTGAAGTTTACACCTTGTGTTTCTTACAAATATTCATAGACTCTTGTTTCCATATTTTTTAATTACAAAAAGATCCATATTGCTAGATGTCCAATATCTGAAACGTAATCCTACTGCGTTTTTATGTTCTTCCTACAACTATGGTCTTGCTGGACACGACATTACTGGTGAAGTATTTAAAGAAGTGAATGATGAAGGTCTTTTAATTATTTATTCTAAAAGGATCAAAATTTAGGGAACTCCAATCTTTTCACTGGCGACAATGTTTTATGAATTAGTACGAAAATTATAACCCAACCTGTACTATAGATCCCTTTTTAAGGAGGAAATTCTTCTAAATCAATTGTTAGTTTTAAAGATTTTTTAATATTCACAACAAGCAAAGTGAATTTGAATTACCTTACCTAATCTCCATAAAAATTCTTACAAATAATGATAGATAGTGAGTTCTTGTAAATGTACTACAAAGCCTCTTTCTTTCCTCCTTGCTAAAATATTTAAGTAGCGTAGGAGAAATTTCAGGAGTACTATACAGCATCATAATCAAGAAGTGGTATTAGTCATGTGGATAGTTAAAAACTACAAGGAACTTTTAGAAAATTTAAAATGACGAAATTAAAAAAAAATCAATAGCCCCAAAAGGTACGACTATTCAAAACTTCATACAACCACTCTCCGCTACAAATTAAAGATCAGGATTTGACATCATAGACAACTGCTTCTTTAAAAATTGGAGCTCGTAAATTTGCATACATTGTCATCGGTCATCAGTAGACTTATATTTGTCAACGAATTCTGATAATAAACACAAACACTCCGAGGTTGATATCAAAAGATGCTTTATTTTGCATTGATTGTTTGATTGTCTGTATGTTGTTTTAGTCCCATTCTAGAATTCTTCACTCATATAGAGAGATCACCATAAATCGATGAAGGGCTTTAAATTTAGACCATTGAGCATTGAGGGTTCTTTTTCGTGCCAACGCCTACCGTGACACGAATACTTGGTTTTTTAAAGTCCCATCCTAAAGACCTGTGACATTCACATCTAATATGGGGCGCTTGGCGAAAGAATGCTTTAAGTTTGATGCGGCGCAGCGAACGAGAATCGAACCCGGGCCTCCCGATCACGCTCTACCACTAGGCTATCGTAACCGGTCCAATTTGTCATTGATAGTATCCATGTAATTTTCGGAGACCATATATTCCAACAACATGTTAGAATTTCGATGGGTACTACGTATGCCCCGTTATCAGACGAAATGTTTTTGTATGATATGAAGCAAAATTTATTAAAAAACCTCTTTACGAAAGGAAATCTCCTGCTATGACCTTTAATTATGCTTGATAACTGTTCCTCATCTCCATATATCATTCGACATTTAGACATATCGATGACGTTTTATCAATTAAAATTCACATTGAATTATTTACGGTTTTCCTGTTTACTGGATCGTTACAAGGGGCACACGTGTGACCAATCGGCGGGAGATACTTTACCCTCCATGGTACCTGATATGACCTCTGTTTTCAGAGGTCCCTGTTGGCTCTGCTTATGATTTGTATTGTTTATCAGGACCTTTGAGTATGATCACTGTTCTTTATTTTCAAATTTCATCTTTAAATAAAATTTAGATCTGTGGATGTCCTATTTCAAATTAAATTAACATATTCAGTCATGGAAAATAATATCTTCCTCTATTAAATGGATTGAGAGAACTTTAATTTTTTCTTTGTGTGTGTGTGTATGTGTTTTTCTTTGTTTGCTTGTTTTTAAATTTTATTTTGTATTTTTTGTTTCTTGTTTTTATTAATTTTTTTTAACATGCAAAGGTTGTTAAAAGCGTTCACAGACAAAGTGATTTACGAGAAAACGACAGCGTTATTTAAAGAATAGAGAATGTTTTAGTAAATCATTATCAATTGATGATAAATGTACAAGAACTCAGGTGTATTTACTAAAATTTTAAAGATAAGCACTGATTTTTACTTAGCGAGAATATCAAAGATTTACAGAGCACCACTTAAAAGAATCTTTAATTTACGTCAGGTCAGACAACCTGATTCAAAACCCGTCACCCTTTTTTCCACAGGAAAAAAAAAACTTTCAGTTCCACTCAGGTTTTATGACATTTAACCTACCTATGGAACGTTTCTTAATACAGATAATAGTCTGTATGCCCTCCATTTATCTTATGCTAAACAAATGCCTGTACAGTAAAGAATGAGTGGAAACCAGTTCCATCTTGGTCCCACAGCTTTGTTAATTTTTTACTTCAATAAAACACCACAAGACATGCTTTGATGAATATTGTCATTTATTAATGACGAAGATAAACAACTAATTACAAATAAACTATTTGGTTGAGTTTATTTGTATATGTAAATAAATTTAAATCCCAGTCAATGTGACTTGGACCCCCATTTTTTTAATATTAATATTCCTTTACAAAATACGATGATGATGACGACGACGATGATTATTATAAATTGATTAACTAATTTATCTATTTGTTTATTTTAAATTGTTGCATGGTCAGTTTAAAATAGTTTATCTATTATGATAGGGGCTAAGCATTGAAAGCAAGAAATTGTACAAGTTATAAACTTACATCTGTTGGTCTAAAATTCACTTAACGTTCCATACATTAGATTGAGATTGAAATAAATCTGCATACAATACTTTGATAGAATTTGCAAAATTGTTGATAAGATGCTTTCTTCATTGAAATGATATCAGTGATAAAATTATGTACTGAAATTTTCAAGTCCTGCAGCTCTTATAGAGAGGAAGTTCGCAGTGTGCATGCTCATTGGTGCTAAAGTTATCCAATTACATTGTGCGATATTAGCGTTATTCCGCTTGTTTTAATTCATCGATAATAATATTTATTATGATCATTACTTTATTTTCTTAAATGAAGTGACAAGCGTTCGTCCTTATGAAGAAACACGCTGGATAATAATTCAAATTTAATGCCTCATCAAAGATGGTTCTCTTTTCCTTTTAGGTAAACATCCACCGGCTGGTACGACGATTGATGCCGAAGTGTGTAAAGTGGGTTTTAGAGATAAATGCACAAAGAAGATCAAAATCAAAGTAAAAAATTGCGCAACATACATGGTTTATCGACTGAAACCAGTTGATATATGTGCCTCAGCGTATTGTTTTGGTGCGTTTAAATATCAAAGAAATATTTAAATAAGATTTGAAAAATGAGGGTTTATAGTTGTATATACATAGATCTTTTCATGTTTCAGAACTGAGTAAAGACTGTAAGTATTTACTTTAATTACCTTTATTCAAGAAAAATATAACTTCAAAGAGTTGGCAATCATATCTTCTTTTCAAAATTTATCATCCTCACAAAGATATCTAATTCTTTCTATTTTAAATGATAAAATCCTTGTTTAATAATTTAGGCGTATCTGACGTTCCGTCAGATCTCCTTGTTTCCTATCACAATGTATCCTGGAAAGAAGACATTGATGGAGTAATTACAAACTATGTCCCTAGTGTAAATTTGAAATGTAGCTTTACACCTCTAGCCGACACTTCATTATTTTACGAAATAACATGGTATGTGGACAATGAAGAAGTTGTGAAGAGTAAAACACTAGCACACGATTCATTGGAAGATGCCATTCTGTCATCAGAACATATATTGAATAAACAGAAAAAATCTGGGTCAATGGTACGTAAAACTATACTTTTCCTTTGATAAAAAGGGGTTTCTTTCATTTTCTTTTGTTCCTATTTTTTTTTTATTGTATTTTGTCAACTTTACTGTTTTTTGTTTTTTATTTTTATTTTTTAATTTTTAGATTTATTGCCTCGTTGGAGCCAAATATAAGGAAAAAGATATTGCTTGTAAAACTGGAAGTAGTCCGTTATTCTTTGCTGGCATTAAGGTAACATATTCCAAATAAGCAGGATGTTTTCTATATATATACTGGTATTTATTGTCAAAGACGTCCTCATCAGGCCTTAATTGAATGAAAAATAGGCAGATTATTAAGTATTATGGTGGCGTTAAGTTATGATGAAACTTTTCAAACATGGAGGGAACAAGATCCAGACTATTTGTCAATATAATGTTCAGCACATCCTTGCATTGGAAAGCCGACAATAAATTAGGTATACAAGCTGTATACATAGTCTTGACTATTTTCTATTTGTTTCCCCTTCACCTGCTAGGTTATGTCAGGTTTGAATAGATAAGTTTATTGTATTGGCAGAGCAGATAGGTCTCCCACTTAAGCAGAAGAAGACCGTGTTACCTACTTCTTACCCAGTATTTATGGGGGTTTAGAGTTAAGTAGTCAATAATAATTAGAATGCAGTTAGAAAACTTAGAAAAAAAAATGTTGAAATGCTGAAAAAAGTTGATGACAAGAAAATAAATAACTAGTGTAAAAAAAAGGGGGGGGGGCTTAAAAAGAAGGAATGCAAAGTTAGACTTAAGGGCTTCCTCATTGTTCCTGGATAGTTTTAATGATAAAGATTTGATTCAAGAATCCAAGCTTGAAACGCCTGTCTCATTGCAGATAAGTGCATATATAAGTGTGTTATGGGGTTTGGAGAACTGTATAGAACCATTTGATTTGTAGGGAGATAGTCGTCAGAATGGCTAACAAAACACATATCTATGAAGGAACTGAACTTAATTGTTATAGCATTAGAGTTTTTGGGCCATGCATCCAGCTGTCAAGTTAATGGGTTTTAATTCTATTGTACAATGCTGCAATAGTACGTTGCATCAACAAGCAGACTGCAAAGGACTCGGAATTGATTATAATAATTAGAAGACTAGTTGTGTAGGCATTCAGGTTTAATCAGGTTTGAGATGGTGCATATCTAAAGGTTAAATAACGTGTTAGCTGATAGGCCTTCCAGCATTCAGATAGAGGCGTTCAAGAAGATCGCTCCAGACATGGATCAGCATCCAAAAGATACATCAATTAGAAGAGCTTCACTAACTCAGCTGTCTTCAAACCATATTTTTTTGTCAAAAAAGTCATTTGATAATCATAGCCGAGCTGTTCAGAGCTGTTCAGCTGTTCAGGGTCATAGAAATTTCTTAGCAATTTATTCCAAAAGTACAGTAGTAGTATTACTGCATGTTAACCCCCCCCCCCATGGGAAAATTACGCAAATAATTCCATTACGTGAAACGAAGATTGAATCAATTATGCTAAAATGAGAGCACTTACACGAATGAGTGCACACGGGCATGTAAAGGTCAAAGTTGGTGAGCAAGAGAAGGGCAACAAGGACTCTAGACGTAGTAAAAATGAGATGCTGAGATCGCTCGTGCGCGCTGCCGCCGGCCGGAACACGTGGACTCTGGAAACCGAGGGTGCCGGAAACCGTGGACTATGGAACCCGAGGCCTCCGGAACTTTTTAAGCTGAAAAATAGCTTTCTGGGAGAAAAAAGTTTAGAGATCAAAAGGATTTCTGAGAAAATAAATCGATGTGTGCATTTAACAAATGCATACTGTGCTCGTTTACAGAACACAGATAGAGCTCATATTTTCTAAAACTAACACCACCACGTTCTGTTGTACGAAAACAAAACAAAAAAATATGATTTTCTCGTGATTTTATTCGGACTTAATTTCCATGTTTAACAATATACAAAAAATTTGCAACAATATCATTACAAGAAATTTATTTGTTTATTTTTTTCTTGAATGATATGATTAAACTTAACATGATGTTTGTCGAGAATGCACGATATTGCACCTTCAAGAGGCATCTTTTTCATTGATAAGGGAGAGAATTTCCTGACGAATACCCCTAAGCAACGCACTTTTCATGAGGCAGGCGGACAGTTTTAATTGTTCATTATAATTTTTCAGTAGTAAATCTCTGTCTTTTTCAAGCATCTGTTTCATGGCCGTTTTTCTGGCTTCTTCCGTTGGATTCCCTTCCTGGTCTAATTCGACAGATCGACAGGTAGTCCTTGGATGAACTCAAGGAGAGGTATTTGTCTCTGGAGGTCATCGCACAAGGGCTGTCATCTCTTATACAGCCAAATGATTCGGTCGATCAGGAGGCGGTGAGATGAAATTCTGTCTTTGAAGTAACAGCTCTGTCACGACAGCAGTCGTGTCCTGTCCAGTCACATACTACAAGATGTTTTTTTTTTTTTTATTTACAATTTTATCTATAAAAATAAAATTAAAAATGAACAATATTTACAACATATTTATGCAGTTATAATGTACAATAAGTATATCTTAAAAGTCTATCAATCCACGCCACAAACAACGCCTCTTAAAATAAACGGCAGAGGATATGGCTTGGTGCGGATAGGTTGGTCTTTAGTCACCTTGATATGATGAACAAAGAGATTCGTCAAACAGTTACATCTGTTAAAGCATCTGAAAAATCGCCTAGTAATGCCTTGATGTCTGCTTTCTCATTTACAGTGAGTTTAGCACTTACTTTCACATCTGTTGTCCCTTCTTTTCTCGTTTCTCCTGGTGAATCACACATCTCATCTTCAATTTCTCCTTTGCCATCTAGATCGAGTACAGCTGTGCCTGCAATACCTAGAAAACCTGTTTCGTCATTGTTCTCGCTTTCTCTGTCAATATACACCTTCAACATGTTTGCATGAAATGTTTTGATTTTTCCATTCACGTTTATTCTGTAATCGACTTTTTCTAGTTTTTCTATAATTTCATATGGACCTTTCCATCGAATTTGTTATTTGTTACTGGCAGTTGGCAAAAGAATAAGAACGTTTTCACCTTTTGACATTTATCTGTTCTTTGCTCCCTTGTAATACTTCCGGTATTTCATTGACGACTTCTGTAGATTTTCTCTCGCAATTTGCAAGTAGCTTCAAGTCGCTTCTTCAAATATACAACATACTGGTATGTAGTTCACACTTCTGAATCTGCTACTTCTTTTGTCCACAACTCTCTCAAGATCTTCATAGGTCCTCATATGTCCGTAAACCAATTCAAACGGTGAGAATCCTAGACTCTCCTGAGGAACATCACGGCAAGGAAACAACTAGGCTGATAGGTACTAATCCAAATCTGTAGGATGTTCTGAACATAACCGTCGGTGTATCTGCTTTAACGTACCATTAAACCGCTCGACCAGTCCATTGCACATGGGAGGATATGGCGTCGTTGTTAACTGTCGTATAGAAAGTAAACGACTGACCTCTGTCATCAGCTCGAATTTAAATTGTGACGTTATGTCCGTGAGCATAACCTTTGGTACAAAATACATCTACTAGAGCCCCAGGGACTTGTTTAGTACCAATACCCTTTAGAGCAATTGCCTCTGGGTAACGTGTCGCAAAGTCAACAACAGTCAAAATGTAACGATTACTTTTACTTGTTGCTGGCTGGATAGGCACTAACAAGTCTACAGCTACACGTCTGAACGGTACCTCAGTGATAGGCATATATCCGAGTGGAACTTTTGTAGTCCTGCCTTTCGGAGTGGGTCGTTCACAGATGTCGCATAATCTGCAGAATCTACGTACTTCCCCTTGAACTCACAGATAATAAAATTCTACTAGGACTTTCCTGACTGTCCTAAAAGTACCTAGGTGATCTGTCATAATAAACTTATGAGCGACAGAAAGAACTGAAGTCCTAAATTGCTTTGGTATAACCAAATGTGTTAATTGTTTACCATTCTGATATTTATCTGAGTGGAAAACTCGATAAATGACACCTTTCTTACTGATGAAGGTTACCTTGGAGTCGTCGTTTTGGCCCAAAAGAACGTATCTTTTTTAGCGTCTCGTCTTTCTACTGTTCTGCCTTGATGTCGTCGGGACAGATATCAAAGTCAATAATTTCTGAACACAAAGAGATTTAGTCCTCTTACCTTCCTTTTGAGCTTGTTGCCTTGTCACAACTGCATGAGCTTGGTTAGGTGTCCAGTTTTTATCTGGATCCTTTGGATCTCTGACGTTTGGGACGTTGCCGCTGATCAATGAATAGAATTTTCTAAACACCAAGCATCCTTAGCAAAAAAAAAATACTATAGTTAACTATAGTTTTCTATAGTTAACTATAGTTATAACTTTGACACTATGAAAACTTTGATTTACTAAAGTGATATCTTTGACACTTTGTTTCACTATAGCAATAACTTTGACACTTTGTTTAACTATAGTGATCATTATGAAAACTTTGATTTACTACGGTGAAAACTTTGATTTACTATAGTTTTACTTTTGAAAACTTTGATTTACTATGGTGATAACTATGACATTATAGTGATCACTTTGAAAACTTTGATTTACTATAGTGATCACTATGACACTATAGTGATCACTTTGAAAACATTGATTTACTATAATAGTAATAACTTTGACACTCTTATTTACTATAGTAAACTATAATAGTAAACTATAGTTGACTATAGTATTTTTTGTTTGGGATCTATTTCTCCCACAAAGTATTGAGTCTCTATTTTCACAGGTGCTTGAATTCTAGATCCATCCGCCAGAATGCAAATTCGATGACTTCCTGTAAGCTGAACATCATCTATCAAATTCCTGCGAACTACAACGCCGTTACAACCAGTGTCCCTACTGTCACAAAATGTTCATTTAATTTGCCATTACAGGTAGGCATATCTTCAAGAGATGCACTAACGTTACATGATGAAGTGTTTGCAAGGTCAATCGAATTTGAAGTCATTGAAAATGTAGATGTTCTTGTAATTGAAGAAAATGATCCACACTTGTCTTGTAATTCCGAGTTCTTCACCATAAATTCCTTCTCTGTGCTATCAACGACTGCATTCACTGAGTTCCGTTTCTTTTGAGTCAGATGGCACTGGGACGCTATGTGGCCCATTCTGTCACACTTGAAGCAACGAACATCTTTCTTCAGCGGAGTCTCCAAGGGTTGAGTCTTCTATCCTGATCTCTTCCATCGTTGGTCTTGTTCTCTCGATGCCTGACGTTTTTATGGGGTATTCCCTTTCTTGCTATAATGAACTAGTGTTTAAATATTTACATGTCTTGCCTCTCTATACTGATCGGCTAAGACACACATTTCTTTGATGTTTTTCGGTATACGCTCTTTTAAAAGCAATGCTAATTCTTTGTTATACATAAAC